TAATTAGGATCTAATAACAATGGTTGCTATTACTATTATTATTATTATTAATGACTTACAAAAGGCCAGTCACCATCTAAATTATTGCAAACCATCCCATCAACTATTCAAGATCAGTTGTTCTCATTATAAAGAAAAAAAAGAGCAGCACCATAGACTGAATCATTTGTCTAAGATAATACAGCTACCACCACAGTAGGATTTGAACCCAAGAGATCCCAAGCCTGAGCACATGATTGATTATCTGATTTGTATCTCAAATTTTGAGTTATTTAAAGGGAAGGAGGGCTGAAGGGCTGTAAAGTCAAAGATATAGTAAGTTCTAGAGATGCTGGTGTCAGGCAAGAATATGGGCTTATCACCAACTAATCAGATGATGATCTAATATGAGAACATTAACATTATCAAAAGCAACCATCTGATAAAACCCATGTCTTTCAACACTCCATTTAGCCTGCAGTAATCACATTCTCACTAGAAACTTTCTGTTCCTATTGCTTGCATTTGAGAATAATCACAGTTTTACAGGGAATAATGTAAATTCTATGTTTGGGGATGATTTTCAAAACTAGGTAACCATGCATGTTGGACCAGACGTTCATAATACATTTCAACATTTCCCACAGACCTATGTTTAGGAAGTACTGGAACAGAACTCACTGGAAGCTGGCTAAAGCACAGCTTTTGCAAGTGTAGAGTTAGCATGATGCAGAAAGTGGGCAGGCACAAAATTGCAGCACCCCTGGAATCCCATCACTTCCCCTTTGATGTATTTTGTTTAGTAAGTTAGAAGCTGGCTAACTTACCCCACAGCAATATGCATACTTAGGAACTCCAAAGCTATGCCTTAACACAGTTGGGATATCCCTGCTGAGTTCCTCAGTATTATTGTGATGTTGTTTGTTTTATTTTAGAAATTTAAAAAGAATATACCTGAATTTTCATTTTAGAAATAAAGCCTAGCCTGTCAATCTCATACTTGAAAATCTTCAAAGGTTCCTGATACCTACAGCATCCTCCCACTTCAGCTTTGTATTCAGTTCTGCCTTCATGAACTGACAGTTTTCATTTGATTCACATCCTACCACATTTCATTCACCTATTGCTTCAGACTTACAGAAACATCCTCCACCCCTTAAACCACAGACTGCCAAGAGTTCTAATTTTGTTCTTTATTATCCCACCACCTACCTTTTTGAGACTTAGCTCAAATGTCCCTGCCCATGTGAAGCCGTTGCTCTCAGACCATGAGCTCTTAGCAGAAGGAACTGTGTCCTCTCCATTTGATTTGCCTGTTATGACATAGCCACTTACTAAAGTACAATAACCTCCTTGTAAGCCATCATATTACATGATGATGTTGTTTCAATGAGGTATCTAGCTCTTCCAGACGAATCCATCCCAGATTTACTCCATTCTTGAGTGGGAGGAAATTTACTCAGACACTAAGGCTACATTGTTATGTTCTATGGCCCCTCTTCTCCCAGAAGCTATTGCTTCCTTTACCATTGCAAACTATAGAAAATGAGGATAAATTAAATTCATCCTCTCTTAGAATTCATCTGTCACATCCCTGCTGGTTCTCTATCAGAAAGGGAGCAATTGGAGGCCTCCATTATGTTTACTTGAGCAAAAAAATGGTACATTCCAATCAAATGATAAAATAGTAACAGCAACATTCAAATAGCCTATAGCTTTAAAATGACTACAGATTCTCCCATACCACATCCAAACTACAAGGCAAATGACAGTCTAAAAGAGTCATTTTAAACAAATCTTACTTTATCGCATGATACAGCTTACAGATCAATTTATACACATTGTTTTTTTGTATATGCCAGCAGAAATGCCTATGTTAGCTGAATGAGATGTAAGGATGCCAAGTGTGTTATTAAAACTTACAAATGAATTCAACTCTCAGAGCAAGTTCTCAGAAATTTCCAGCTTTTAAAAAATGTTTTCCCAACAGCCAGCCAGCAGATAAGAGTCTTGCCAGCAGGCCCCTCCACCACAGCTGCTACCCAATGAACTCTAACCTACAAGACCCACCCTGCAATCAACAGGCCCTAGAGGCACAAGTGCCACCTGCATCAATTGGAAGAAGAGGTGAGTGACTGGTCTAGCAACTAAACTTCCCCAATGTTTAGATTATAAACCCCAGGGCACATCCCATGCCCCTCCCCCTCCCATGTCAGCCCCACCAGCCAGCCAGCAGGTAAGAATCCTGCTGGCCTCTCCATCACTGGCGCTGCCCATTGGACTCTGCAGCCTACAAGTCCCAGTCTACCACCCAAACCCAATGAACCCATCATCCTCCCCCTGGGCAACCATCCCCCCACAACATCCATAGCCTTTAGAGGCATAAGATCCATCTACACTAGTTGGAAGAACAGCAGCCCCTATAAGCACAAGCACCATCTACAGCAGTTGGAAGAACAGATCTACTCTGTTGCTCAATCCCACCTAACTCAGCATCCTTTCCATGAACAGCAACATCAGCAGACCCTATAGGCACAAGCGCCATGCACACCAGTTGGAAGAACAGGCACAGGCAAAACTTACATCAGTTGGAAGTACAGATTTCATAGGCACAGTCACAACCCACACCAGCTGGAAGAACAGATCCCATAGGCACAAGTAAAGCCCACACAAGCCAGAAGAACTAGATGATATGCTGGATCTAGGCACCCAAACCCCCACAAACCTCAGCTGAGACAACCGTACTCAACCTGACCTCCAGCCAATTAACAGAACCCTTGACCATTCAGGCCAAAAGACAATAAAGGAAACAAACAATAAAGGAACAAAAGACTCATCCAACAAAGACATCACAAGAATCAACACCTGTACCTATAACTGTTCCAAACCCAGATGGGTAAATGGCAGTGTGGAAATACATTCAACAACATAAAGAACAATATGGGACCACCAGAACCTAATACTTCTAAAACAGCAAGACCTGAACATTGCAACACAGATGAACAGAAGAAAATGACCTTAAAACTAACTTAATGAAGAAGACAGAGGCTCTTAAAGAGGAACTGAAAAATTCCCTTAAAGAAATCAAGGAAAATACAAACAAAAAGTTGGAAGAAATCAATAAATCCCTTAAAGAAAGGAAAGAGAACCAAGAAAAACCAATCAAACAGGTGAAGAAAACAGTTCAAAACTTGAAAATTGAAATAGAAGCAATAAAGAAAACACAAACTGAGGGAATTCCAGAAGTGGAAAATCTGGATAAGTGAACAGGAACTATAGATACAAGCATCACCAACAGAATACAAGAGATGGAAGAGAGAATCTCAGGCATTGAAGATACAATAGAGGAAATAGATTCATTAGTCAAAGAAAATGTTAAGTTCAAAAAATTCTTAACACAAAACATCTAGGAAACTGGGACACCATGAAAAGACCAAACCCAAAAATAACAGAGAAGAAGGAGCAGAATTCCAGCTCAAATGCACAAAAAAATATATTCAACTAAATCATAGAAGAAAACTTTCTCAACCTAAAGAAGGACATTCTTATGAAGGTACAAGAAGCTTAGGGACCACAAAATAGACTGGACCAAAAAAAGAAGGCCCCTCACCACATAATAATCAAAACACTAAGCATATAGAATGAAGAAAGGATATTAAAAGCTACAAGAGAAAAAGGACAAGTAATATATAAAGACAAACTTATCAGAATTACACTTGACTTCTCAATGGAGACTCTGAAAGTAAGAAGGTCCTGGACAGATGTTTTGTAGACACTAAGAGACCACAGATGCCAGCCCAGCCTACCATACCAAGAAAAACTTTCAGTCACCATAGATGGAGAAAAAAAGATATTCCATGACAAAACCACATCTAACAATACCTATCTACAAATCCAGCCCTACTGAAGGTACTAGAAGGAAAACTCCAATCCAAGGAACTTAGCTGAACCCATGAAAACACAGGCAGTAGATAATCTCACACCTGCAAATCCCATAGAAAGGAAGCATACACACCCACCACTACCACCACAAACAGAACCAAAAAATAACATGAATTAACAATCACTGGTCATTAATATCTCTTATTATCAATGGAGTCAATTTGCTTATAAAAAGACACAGGCTAAAAGAATGGATATGAAAACAGGATCTATCCTGCTGCATACAAGAAACATAGTTCAACTTCAAAGACAGACATTACCTCAGAGTAAATAAAAGGTTAGGAAAAGACTTTACAATCAAATGGACTTAAGAAGCAAGCTGGTGTAGCTATCCTAATATCTCACAAAATAGATTTCAAACGAGGTGAAAAAGGACATTTAATACTCATCATAGAAAATATCCACCAAGATGAAATCTTAATTCTGAATATTTATGCCCCAAATACAAGGGCATAAATATTCATAAAAGAAACATCACTAAAGCTTAAATCACATATCAAATCCCATATACTAATACTGGGAGACTTCAACACAGCACTCTCACCAATGGACAGGTCTGCCAGACAGAAACTTAACAGAGAAATAAGGGAACAAACATATATTATGACTCAAATGGATTTAACAGATATCTACAGAACATTTTGCCCAAACACAAAAGAATATACCTTCATCTCAGTACCTCATGGAACCTTCTCTAAAATTGACCTCATACTTGACCACAAAGTAAATCTCAACCAATATCAAAAAATTGGAATAACCCCATGTAGTTAATAGGATCACCATGGCTTAAAGTTAGAATTCAACAACAACACAAATTACAGAAAGCCTACAACCTCATGGAACTGAACAATGCTCAACTGAATCACCACTGGGTCAAGGAAAAAATAAAGAAATTAAAGATTTTCTAGAATTCAATGAAAATTAATGTACAACATACTTAGACTCATGAAACACTATGAAAGCAGTGCTAAGAAGAAAGTTCATAGCAGTAAGAGCCTACATAAAGAATTTGGAGAAATCTCACACTAGTGACTTAACAGCATACCTGAAAGCTCTAGAACAAAAAGAAGCAAACTCACCCAGGAGGAGTAGATGCCAGGAAATAATCAAATTGTGGGCTGAAATCAATAAAATAGAAATAAAGTAAACAATACAAAGAATCAATGTAACAAAGAGTTGGTTCTTTGAGAAAATCAGGAAGATAGATGAACCCTTATCCAAACTAACCAAAATGCAGAGAGAGAATATCCAACTTAACAAAATCTGTAATGAAAAGGGGGACATAAAAACAGACACTGAGGAAATCCAGAGAATCAATAGGTCATACTTCAAAAACCTGTACTCCACAAAATTGGTAAATCTATAAAAAAATGGAAAATTTTCTGGATAGGTACCACATAATAAAATTAAATCAAGACCAGAAAAATAATTTAAATGGACTTATAACCCCTAATGAAGTAGAAGCGGTCATTAAAGGTCTCCCGCCCCCGCCCCCCCCAAAAAAAAAACAAAACCCATGGCCAAATGGTTTCAGCACAGAATACTACCAGAATTTTAAAGAAAAGCTAATATGATACTCCTCAAATTCTTCCAAAACAATAGAAACAGAAGGAACATTACCAAACTCTTTTTATGAAGTTATAGTTACCCTGATACTCAAGCCACACAAAGATACAACAAAGAAAGAGAATTACAGACCAATCTCCCTCAGGAACATTGATGCAAAAATACTCAATAAAAAACTGGTAAATTGAATCCAAGAAAACACACACACACACACACACACACACACACACACACACACACACACACACAAAGAAAGAAAGAAAGAAACAAACAAACAAACAAACAAACAAACAAACAAACAAAAAAACCATCCACCATGATCAAGTAGGCTTCATCCCAGAGATTCATATGAAAATCTGTCAGGAACCCCCATGGAACTGGACTGGGCCCTCTGGATAAGTGAGACAGTTGTTTAGCTTGAACTGTTTAGGGGGGCCCCAGGCAGTGAGACAGGGACCTGTCCTTAGTGCATGAGCCGGCTTTTTGGAACCTAGTGCCTATGCTGAGACACTTTGCTCAGCCTTGGTGCAGGGAGGAGGGGATTGGACCTGCCTCAACTGAATGTACACTCTGCTGACTCTCCAGGAGAGACCTTGCCTTGGAGGAGGTGGGAATGGGGGATGGGTTGGAGGGAGGACAGGGGAATACATGGTTGATATGTAAAATGAATAGAAAATCTCTTAATAAAATGAAAAGAAAAAAGAAAAAAACTTCCATTAATCCATAACCCATCAATTTACCTGTTAGATTTATTCTCTTTTCTTTACCCTCCTTTTAGTACTTATTCACCAATTCAAAGAACCCATTCCAGTGTTGATAAAGACACCAATGCCTCCCTCAAATGTATACACATACAAAAATAAAAATCTAGGATTTATATAGGAGAAAAAAAAGAAAAACCTGTCAATATAATCCATTATATAAACAAACTGAAAGAAAAAAACATATGATCATCTCATTTAGATGCTGAAAAAGCCTTTGACAAAATCCAACACCCCTTCATAATAAATGTGTTGGAGAGATCAGGAATACAAGGAACATACCAAAACATAATAGAAACAATATACAGCAAGCCGATATCCAACATCAAATTGAATGGAGGGAAATGCAAAGCATTTCCACTAAAATCAGGAATAAGACAAGGCTGTCCATTCTCTCCATATCTATTCAATATAGTACTTGAAGTTCTAGCGAGAGCAATACGACAACCAAAGGAGATCAAACTGGAAAGGAAGAAGTCAAACTTTCGCTATTTGCAGATGATATGATAGTATATATAAGTGATCCCAAAAATTCTACCAGGGAACTCTTACAACTGATAAACACCTTCAGTGATGTGGCTGAATACAAGATTAACTCAAGTAAATCAGTAGCCCTCCTATATACAAATAATAAATGAGCTGGTACAGAAACCAGAGAAAGAGCACCCTTCACAATAGTCATAAAAATGTAAAATATCTTGGAGTAACTCTAACCACGCAAGTAAAAGACCTGTATGACAAGAACTTTCAGTTGTTGAAGAAAGAAATTGAAGAAGATATCACAAAATGAAAAGATCTCCCCTGTTCTTGGATAGGTAAGATTACCATAGTAGGAATAGCAATCTTACCAGAAGCAATCTACAGATTCAATGCAATCCCCATCAAAATACCAACACAATTCTTTTTCAACCCCGAAGAACAAATACTCAACTTCATATGGAAAAACAAAAAAACTCAGGATAGCTAAAACAATCCTGTACAATAAAGGAACTTCTGGAGGTACCACCATTCCTGACTTCAAGCTCTACTATAGACCTATAGTAATAAAAACAGTTTGGTATTGACATATAAACAGACACATGGATCAATGAAATTGAATCAAAGACCCTGACATAAATTCATGCCTTAGAGACAGACACTGAGATTGACAATAATAAATGGAACCTCATGAAACTGAAAACCTTCTCTAAGGCAAAGGCCATGGTAAATAAGACAAAATGGCAGCCTACAGAATGGGAAAAGATCTTCACCAACCCACATCTGACAGAGGGCTGATCTCCAAAATATATAAAGAACTCAAGCATCTAGACATCAAAATACCAAATAATCCAATTTTAAAAATAGTGTACAGATTTAAATAGAGAATTCTTGACAGAAGAAACTCAAATGGCTGAGATACAATTAAAGAATCATTTAACATCCTTAGCTATCATGGAAATGCAAATCAAAATGACTCTGAGATACCATCTTATACCTGTCAGACTAGCTAAGATCAAAAACACTGAGGAGATCCTATGTTGGAGAAGATATGGAGTAAGGGGAACACTCCTCCACTGCTGGTGGAAGTGCAAACTTGTACAGCCACTTTGGAAATCAGTATGGTGATTTCTCAGAAAATTTGGGTTTTGGGGATCAAGACCCAGTGATTCCACTTTTGGGCATATACCCAAAGGATGCTCAATCATATCATAAGGGTACTTGCTCAACTATGTTCATAGCATTATTAGTAATAGCCAGAACCTAGAAATAACCTAGATGCCTCTCAGCTGAAGAATGGATAAGGAAAATGTGGTATATTTACACAATGGAGTATTACTACAGCAGTGAAAAACAATGACATCATGAAATTTGCAGGCAAATGTATGGAACTAAAAAAACAAAAATCACCCTGAATGAGGTAACCCAGAACCCACATAAGTGGATATTAGATGTAAAGGAAAGGATAATCAGGGTAGAATTCACAGCTCTGAAGAAGCTGGATAACAAGAAGGACCTTAAGAAGGACTCATGGATCACCATAGGAAGGAGAAATAAATAAGATCTCCTGGGCAAACTGGGGAAAGGGGGAGAGTAGAAGGGAGGGGGTGGGGGATGGGAACATTAGGGATTGGGATAGTCGAGTTGGGGGAGGGATGGAGAGGGAGAGCAAAGAAAAAGATATCTTGATAGAGGGGGCCATTATGGAATTAGGGAGAAACCTAGCGCCAGGGAAACTTCCAGGAATCTATAAGGATGACCCCAGCTAAGACTTCTAGCAATAGTGGAGAGGGTGTCTAACTGTCCTTCTGTAATCAGATTGGTGACTACCCTAATTGTCATGCTAGAACCTTCATCCGGTAACTGATGGAAGCAGATGCAGAGATCCACAGCCTAGCATTGGGCCAAGTTCCAAGAGTCTAGTTGAAGAGAAGGTGAAGGAATTACATGAGCAAGTAGAGGTCAAGATCATGATGAGGAAAACCACAGAGACAACTGACCTGAGCTCGTGGGAGCTCCTGGACTCCAGACCAACAGCTAGGGAGCCTGCATTTGACTAACCTGGGCCCTCTGCATGTGGGTGACAGTTGTGTAGCTTTGTCTTTTTGTGGGGCCCCTAGTAGTGGGAACAAGATCTGTACCTGATGCAGGATCTAGCTTTTTGGAACCTACTCCCTATGGTGGGATACCTTGCTCAGCCTTGATAGAGGGGGGAGGAGCTGGGTTCTACCTCAACGTGATATGCCAAGCTTTGTTGTCTTCCATGGGAGGCCTTTCCCTTTCTGAATGGAGATGGAGGAGGAGTGGATGGGAGAGGGGTAAAAGAGAGTCGGGGAGTGAACAGGAGCAGAGAAGGGAGGCAAAACTGTGGTTGGTATGTAAAATAAATAAAAAATATTAATAAAAAATGTTTTCCATAGGTCTTATGTGAAAGTCAGACATACATAACTTACCACAACAGAAATGACTTATTTAAATAAAAAGATGAGAAGATCCCCTAAAAGCACATGAGAAGGAGTCACAAATGCCCTATGATCATAAACCCACTTTTAGAAGTGACCAAAAAGGGAAAACAAGAAAAAGGGTTAATACAATTTTGACATTTCTAAGTCCTCAAACTGTTATAGGCATTTGCTTCATTAAGTACAGTTGTGAAAAGGCAAGACCAAAATTTTCTCAGAAAAAAATAAAAGCAAACCATCACCTATACAATAAAATTAAATTAACAAAACTTAAACTGAATGGTGAGGGGATTTTTAAGGACCCGAAACAAGTTGATTCTCTGTACAGCTTTACAAGTGACTGTATTGCTCTCTAAAAGTAAAAAAGAACAGTGACTTCATGAGGACTCTGGGTCCAGGGTCATTGTTCTCCTATCTGTTGTTCATAAAATAATTGTGGAGAAAGAATCCACAGTAGGAGTAGACAGAGTTCCTGAAATGTTTCAGGATAAATATTTCCTGTAGAAAAACAAAGATTCCTGAAAAAAAAAACATAGCAGAGGGAAGATTTAACATATTTCAAATAATAATCCATTTATTTTAAATAAAGCATAAGGGAAAGTGTGGATAAAGAGCCTTTACCAGGCAGAGTTTTCTTTTGAGTAAATACAAATGCTGCTCAAGCAAGGTCTTTGTAGGCCAATTATGGAACCACCACATGGTCCTAAAGATAGTCAGGAATTTTAAAATGAAAACAACATAAATCTCAGTTTTTAGGCCTATTTGAATGGTCATTTTTAGAGGCTTCTTTAGCTCTGCCAATCTCAAAATGTCTAAGGACAGTGTCCTCACAACATATTCTTTCAACAAATG